GCCACCCTCGCGCCGGCCCAAGGGGCTGTGCTGCCAGCTCCACCGCAGGCCTCGGGAGCGGCGGCTGCGCTGCGGGCCTTCCCCGGGGGCGCGCGGCACCGCTGGCACGACCGCACACACATCCGCCTTCAGAGAAACCTAACAGCTTGCTCTCTGTTATTCTTTGCTCTCGTTCAGAGTCGCTGAACAAAATAAACGCGGAACACCAGCGTCTGTGTAAAATGACCTAACGCACGTCACAGCTTATTGGGTGTCTCAGACAGCGTGCCAGCGAGGTGTTGGTGGAAAAAGGCTCGGATGTGCTGCCAAGCATCCACCTGCGCCTCACAGTGCGCCTTGGGCTCCCCTCCCCACACCACTGGCCTGCCCACTAGCAGGTGCATTGATGCTGCACACATTGGGAAAAAGGGGGGTTCGATATAGTGCCCTGCCCCAGGGTAACAGATTATCTCAGGCTTTTCCTTCCCGTGAGCTTGCAAACGCTTGCTCCCCTCAACTGCAAAGAATTCACTTTTCCAGTTGTGATCATCCTGGCCAACAATGAACAAGAAGCGACACTCAGCCTTCTCCAGCGGGATAAAGCTCTGGCGGTCAGGCCCTTCTAACGGGTTGTTCAGTAGGTCAACGATATCTGCAATCCCAGATTCGTTGACCTTGATGCGGCTGGGGCTGATGCCGAGGGGTGGAATGCTGATGTCCTTGTAGTGCAGCACGGCGCCCACGTTTGCCACCGAACCATTGATGAGGGCGGTGGCAGTGATGCCCTTTAGGAAGGATGCCATGGAGACGCACAGGTCACCCCCTTTGGAGATCCCAAGCAACCCAATTCCTGGACCTTTAACCTGGAGGGGAGAGAAAGAGAAAGCACAAGCAATGAACCATTTAAAGCGTCGCCGTGTTAACAGCAGCCTCTTTCCCACCTGCAGGTATAGGGCCCCTAACATCCTACGTGCAGCACCTGCATCAGGGAGGACCCTGGCACAGCTCTGTGCTTGGTTTCTGAACTTAAGCTTTACTGAGACTGCAGCAGCATCCTAACAAGACCGCCAGGGTCATTGCTGAAGCATATGCGGAGAGTGCGGCTCTCTTTGCAAAAAGCCATGCAGATAGGTAACTCCTGATTCACTGTGCTTATAAGGCAGTTTGGGTAGAGGGAGGGGAGGCCTCTTCTTCAAATGCTCTCTTTCAGTGGAAAAGGTTCAAAATCAGTAATGACTATGACATTGTCATTTAGTTATCCTAAGGTATTTCTTATATTCAACCACTGGTGCTGATTTTCCCATTAGGAGGAGACGTGGAGTGGCACCCTAACACGGGGGGGCAGAAATCTGTATCAGCTGCTCTCTTGTTTTTTCACTATGCTTGGTGTCTCACTCATGTTGAAAAGGAAGTATTTTAAGGGAGCTTACTCACTAAAATGTATCTTAAAAATATTAACCTATTAAAAACCTCTTTTAAGCCAACTGTAAGACCCTATGGAGTCAATCTAGACGAGGTTAGCTTCTTTTTCTTTCCCACTGGCAAATCAAGCAGAGTAGGAAAGCTAAATTATTTTACACATGGCTAATATTCCCTAAGGACACGGTAAGAAGGTTAGCTAATATCACAATTGCTCCAATATGCAAACAGCCTCAGGATAAGAGGCTCCAAGACAGCTCCAAAATTTAATACCTTTGGTACTTCATCGTCAGCATAATAGGCTGCAAACCTACTGACTTTGAAGCAGGAAAAGAGGGGAAATTATAAAATATGGCTGGAACTTTGCAACTTGTAAAGAACACGGTGGGGAGTATTAGTGGAAGTGTTAATGGGAGGCTGGGTTGCTGTTTGCGAGAAGAAAAAAAGGGGGTAAAAAAAGCAATCTTCAGAGTTTTTGCACAGAAGGGTAGCACCAGCATTTAGGGCAAGGGTGGCTTAAAGGCAACCAAGGCCTTTAAGAAGTACTCATCTTTCTGAGGTTGGGGATGGTGTTTAAAAGTTGAGCTCTTCTTGTGCAGCCCTAGTTATTGTAATGCACAGCTATTTGGAAGCAGATGCAGAACACAGCAGGGCTCTCTTACAAAGGGTGCAGACTTAAAAGGTCCCTGAGCTCACAGCCAGCTACTAGAAACCACGTTCCCCAAATACCAACATTCAGAGTGACTATAACAGCCTATCCATTATACAGCAAGAAATGCGCATTGGTGGACTTCCTTGAGCCATGGATCACAGCAGCTTATCGTGTTACAAGGCTGAAAAGGGCATTTGGTTCTCAAGGGCATTCTACAAAGCATAAACCCAAAAATCCCATGAGGAGTTTGATAAGTCCTCAGGTAAGTGGCTCCCTAGTGATGGCACAGGTTTGAATGGAGCAGAAGTTACCAATATATGACCCAGGTGTTACTGTATTACCCAGCCAGTTCAAAGGAAGAACTGGAATAACTGCTAGAGAACTATTATAATGGGAGTAAAAGATATGAAAGAAGTTATTTAAGCCACTTTGAATAGAGCTGCTATTTTAAGTACAGCAGCTCTGCCCCATCTGCGGTCTCACAGGACCTGATTAATGGGAGTTCCCTGTAGTGGGAGGATGTCAATGAGCAAGCCAACCTGTCTGTGTTGCAACATATAGATTATGGCTTCTTCAAAATATTCCAGGTGGAATTCCTTCATATCTTTGGGGAGATCTTCATAGCTGTAGTAAGCCAGAGCCAGCACAGCAAAGCCATAGTTGGCCAGCAGGCATGCCCTATATTCAACGAGCCCCCCTCCTGCTCCATATATGTCAATTATTCCTGGAAAGGGGCCATGTCCTGCAAAAAAACCACATAACACGACACATTAACTCAAAGTTTTTCATGTATGTCCCAAATTCATAGGTCTGGGAATGTGCCTCTTTAAAAAAAGAAAAAAAACCAAACAGCAGTAGCAGAACTGGAACTAAGGGTCCTACGTTCTGTGTCGATTTTCAACAAATGGCTGAATCGCTTCAAGATTAAACAAGACAGCACACAACAGCAAGCCAGCTAATGTTTTAGTTAACATCAGGTAACATATGGCTTGAAGGGAAGGGATCCCTTAACAGTCACGTCTAGTTATCTACATCATGTAAAATCACTGAAAACGCATCAAAAATACCCAGGAGGTTTCTCTCCATTGCATTCCTCAGAAGACTGATCCCAAAATCTCATCTGATGGTTCCAGCTTCTCAGTTGCAGTGTAAATGTACTGTGGCCAATTTATGCTGGCACTAATTGGGGAGAAAATATGTGTAACCTGGTTTGCTAACCTGGCAAGGGAAGCTTTAAAGTAGGTTCATTAAGGGGCAGGAACTGAAGTCTAGAACTGAGAGGAAGAGCTGTAAACTAATGAGGAGGTACGGAAAGGAGCAGGCCACAAGGAAGGCTTTCCCATTCCTGC